GCCAGAACACCGCAAAAATTTGAAAACTTTTTCTCATTTGTATTGAGTAAAAATTGTTTCCATTTAGAATTTTAGATCCACAAGTTTCTCCACATAATATAACCCAATTGTGCTTTTAGGACGTACCATGTTTGTTTCTGTTGATTAACCTCCTGTACGCTACAAATCCAATACAATCATTGTGTTTGGCGTTTATGTTTTTAAATGTTATTTAATAATAAATTTTAAAACAAACATTAATCGTTTATTTTGGCAAACAATATGCAACAAAACTTTTAAAAATAATAATCTGGCAACCCTATACAATGTACAGTCGTAGACAACTGAAACACACAAAACGGATTTTACATAATCGATTGAAATATGCATTTTATTATTTAAATTTTTCTGTATCATTATTACAAAGTTAGTTTGGGACTAAAAGGATTTAGCCAATATGGAAATTTAACCGAATTATAAATCTACAAATTTACATATATGCAGGTTTTTATTTTGGTACAGTATTTGTTTTAAGACCACATTTTTGTTATAAAATCAATATTTCAATAAATATGTGCAAACAACAGGAAAATATGGCTGTAAACCTTATCAATATTTAATTTTTTTAATAAAAACAAACTATATCACTATAAGAATTCGCAATTAATAAGACTTTATAGAAACTGAAACAGAAAATTGGAGTTTAATCGTCAAAAAGAAAATATTTAGCCCAATGGTATGGCATTTTGAATACTAAATATAAAATTATAATGATTTTTTTTTAAAGATAAGAATTTTTTGTAATTTTTTCGTTTTAAAAGGCAACAAAGTAAACATGTTTTGGCTTAAACATTACTCTTCGGAATTAATTTGATATTTTTAATCTAAATTAAGGTAGAATTTCCATTTAAAGAGTTTAATAAATAAAAATAGAAGGCCGTGGCAGCCAATTTACCGGTGACAATGTAGTAAAAATATTGTTCTACTCCCACTTTTTAGACGCCCATTATCGTACATGTTTCCATGAGATTAAGTGATCTTTTAAATACACATTGAAAAGTTATGGCTTTATAGCGCTTTAGTCACGGGCTTTAGGTTAGTTGACCGTTGTCAAATATCATACAATCGTTAAAATAAAGTGTCTTCTTGTGAAAAAATAAATAAAAAGTTTATATCTACGTTTGCACTGACCTTTTGATTTCGCCGGCAGCACAGTCTTATATTTATTTACTGTGGCCGGCAGTAAACTAGATAGAGCAATAAAATTGTCGCGTGTAGACTCTATATCAGATTTAAACGGTTGTTAGTCCATTTTCAAGGGATAAATTTCGATTTACACAGAAAAATATCATTTTCAGCCGGTAATACAGATTACCATTCTTACCGTTACTCTATTTTTGTATGTAGATGTCGCTCTATACAGATATTTAATTTAAATCTTACTATAATAATTATTATATTAAATATTTGTCGTAGGAAGAGTATAGTATGCAACTCGTTTATAAACGTTTCTGGACACTTATTTAATTAAACACTTGCTCGCAAGCCCGCTCGTGCCTAGATTAAATTCGTGACTAAAATGGCTTTAATCAAATTTGATACATAATATACTATTAACCAACAAATTAATACTTAATTACAAATTAAAGTATCATTAAAAACTAAAAACAACATAAAAAGTAACTATAAGAATATAAATTGTTAATTTATTGTTCTAATGGCAAAACTAAGGTTAGATTTTTACAATAAATATACTGTAATAATCAATTTCTAAGCCATAAATATGGTTCTTTATTGTTCTAGAAACGAATTTTTAAAAGAATCTATGGAAAAAAACAATTGTTCAGAAGATTTCCTATGGATTAAAAATTCGTTTCCATACTCGAGAAACAAAATAGGATGTTTATTATAGCCTAAACATTTATTAATATAGTTTATTTTTTATGTTAATCTTATGAGCGAGCTCGTGATATACAAAATATACTGTAGCATATAAAACAATTATAACTTATATAAAAATTATTTTATTGAAATCTTAAACTATTTGTGAATTTGCCGATGCCTTACAAAATCATATATTAAACTTTGAAAAAATTATATGAAAACTATTCAAATGGAGATTCTATACCTCTTCAACTTCAAATTGGAACTAATCAATGTCAATTTGGATTGAAACAATTTCAAATTGGGATAAATCAACTTTTAATTGGTAACTTACACGTTCAAAATGGAAATAAACAAAGTCAAATTGGAAACAAACAAATTCAATTTGGTACTAATCAAATTCAAATTGGAATTTTTACTGAAATTGTAAATTGTAACGAATAAAAACGTTCGTCAGGTCTGTGACCGGCTTAAAATAAGATACATACACCTTAAGATAGGATGGTGCGCACTGCGCATGTTGGGCGGGGCTTAAATACGTCACTTGTTCTTGCGATGCTGTTGGATGTTAACTTGCTCTATTTCTTTGTTTAACTTGTTGTTTTTGCGTTTGGTAAGGTTCGAATTACTTTTCAGTGTTCAAATTATTGTTATTGCGTTGTGTTAACCTGTTCTGTTTGTTTATAATTGTTTTTGTGTTGCGTTAACTGGTTTTGTTTGTGTCGTGCCATTTGCATTTATTAAAACGCGGTGTGGCATATTTGGATGCAATTCGGACAACCAGTCCAAGAAAAACCCTTTAAATACAAACATTAAATTTGATCGATTTCCGAAAAACTTTGATTTGTGCAAACAGTGGTTAAATGCAACAAAAAATAGACAATATTAACGTTAAGACCGCTTCTGTTTCCTATAAACATTTTCTGGACAGTGACTATAAGTTTAATTTAAAACACCAACATTTAAACTACAGCCCTAAATGTTATCAAGGACTGAAAGCATCTATTATCCATATTATAACACTTTCTTCAATATTAAGTTTAATAAAAACGCCATATATTTCTCTATTTTCTTTGATAATATTACTATTATTCGTATATTCGCACGGCAACTACTCATCAAGTGACGGCATGCGCGGCACGAACCAAAACTAATCATCGTCGTACGTCTTTTACTCTAGATTTGCAGTCAAAAGATGAAATCGTTCTCCATGTTTATCGGATTGAGTAGGTGACTGTTCGGAAAATGTTTTGGGATTAAAATAGAGAAAATTGATTATGTCAATGCAATTACACATATCTGGAAAAATCCATACTATGCAATTTTTACTACCTTGGAGCTTTTGTTGGACTTTTGTTGGACCTGCCACTCCAACTATGTTTAAATTACCGACCTAACAGCACCATATACCGATGTGTAGTAAAATTTTTAAGCAAACCATGTTAAAATCTTGGTTTGAAAAAAAAACAGATACGTAAATTTGTATTAACACCATCTTTACTCTTTCCATGTCTCTGCTTTAATTAATTATTTAGCTTTCTTCTTCCATTTGAATCCATTTTAGAAATTAAGGGCTTTGTAAGCAGGGGACAAAAGATTGTTGGAATGATGCTATGTTAAGCCTGGTTCTAACAGAAAAGTAAACTAAAAGTTAAAAACCCAAGAATCCTTTATAGCGTTCATACAGTAATTTAAGACCTAATTTAATAGTTGGCCAACTTTTATCTTTTAAATTAAATTACGTTACTTCAAGGTTATTTCGTACTATTTTTAATCGATGCGCATGCGTGTTTATTGTTGACATTAAATCAATATTATCTAACCTAGCTATTTGTGTAAACAAGTCTTTGTTATTTGTTATATGCTTTTAATATTGTATTTGGTGATTTTAATAAATATTTCAACTGGCATTGCCAAGGTATTCCTTGTCTTGTTTTTAATTGAATACGTTTGAAAATTTATATTTATGATTTTAAGATGACTGAGGAAGATCTACTTTTGTATTTAATGATTTTATCAGCTTCGGTGATTGCATTCGGTTTACTTAAGAAGAGAACACGGCCTTTTAAAGTAAGACCAGTGAATCGACAACGTAACCAGCATAGTGTCTACGAAAAATTCGTCAAATTTTCTGCTTTGCATGATCGGGACCAATTCTTTAAGTATACCTACGAGAATGAGCCCTGAAATGTTCCAGCATCTCTTAAATTTACAGCAACCCCATTTAAGGAGAAACAAAAGTAAAAATCCAATATCACCAGGCCAACGTCTTCCATTGACATTGCACTACTTATCAGAGGGTTGCTCAATTCAAGAAATTGCAAGGAATAGTTATATTGGAAAAAGCACTGCTTATTATATTATAAAGGAAATCTGTGATATTTTATGGAACTTCAGTTGAAGATTTTAAAAATGTGGCAAAAAAAAATTTTTTAAGATGGAAGTTCCCAATTGTATAGGGTCCATTGATGTCAAACATGTCAACATTCAGTGCCCACAGCATTCAGAGAGTACATTTTTTTCATATGTGGATATTGGCGCTGCTGGTTCCAACCATGATTCAGCAGTATTTAATTTGTCAAACTATGGAAAAGCGCTAATGAATGGGTAATGAAATAATGCCACATTTTTTTGCTGCAGACAAGGCATTCCCATTGCACACTAATACATATTGGCTGATTATTTTATGTAGGTAGTTGGAGCTTTGACATACCAGTGGGATAGAGTGTATGCAGGTGGCGTATTATAATTTTATATAGGCTATAGGGTCATTCCACGTTACTCGAGGATTTTTGTCCCGCCCGTCACAATTAAAAATTGTGAGTAAAAACTACACGATATAAAATTTATTTTAAAATATTGTTTATTATGCTTTTAATGAGTTATAAATAAGCACAATAAAAATAATAATATACAATATTAAATTAATAACTTGTGGTTTTTACTCACAATTTTCAATTGTGACGGGCGGGACAAAAATTTCCGAGTAACGTGGAATGCCCCTATAATAAAAAAAAAAGGTTTTAATTGTATTTGCTAGTTAAAGATATCAAAAAAACTTTTTTGGGAAAAACAAAAACGAATTTATAAAGCCAATTCTCTATAACTAGCAAGATAGACACAAAATAAAATAAAATTTACAAAGTTTCGCTTGCAACATTTTCTAAAAGTTCGTAAATTGTCCTTTTAAATTGAATTTTTTGTAAGGGTGTTAAAATTTTTATATCCTGCGCTAAACTTCTTGCAAAATGCAGATCTTCGTCTGGTGTAGGAGCTGACTGGACCCTTTTATTCAAATTATAAAAGCATGATGACATTTTGTCGATAATAGCTTCTTGGGCATTCCTTTTCTTTGGCATTGTTCTTCGGAGTATTGGAACTTTGCTTGATGTTGATGGAGTTTCATTATACAAAGTTGTAAAAAGGGGTGTCTGCACCGTACTGTTGGATTCGGATGAAGAATCTGATGTTATTTGTGAATTTTCAGGAATGTTTAATTCAAGTAATGAGTTCGGGATTGCAGGAAAGTCTTCCAGCTTTTGTCGTTGGACTGTCCTTTTCATTGATGATATTGGTGGAGTTGGAAGTGTTGCAGCCGCCGAAGCAGATAAGCCTTCGGAAATAGATGCTATTACCAACTGGGTGCTGGGACCAACTTGCGCAGCCATAGTCTTCAAATTTTCAATACCTTTTCTTGCCTCTATGTAAGCTTTGTCTGGGACGTGATTATGTATAGTAGTCTTAAGAATCTTCTCTCCTAATGTATGAATACGGCCAGTGCAATGCCATCTGTGATAGAGCATTTCCAAATGATTTTTTTGGAACTTGTTTTTTCTTTAGAGTGTATGTAGCTATTATGAACGAGCATTTTGCGCCCTTTTTCACTTTGAACATATTTTAAAACCATCTTTTTAATCAGAACTAAATCGTACTGAGCAAATAACAGTGGAATATAAATTTAAAATTAGAATATTCCGGTATTTATATCATATAGTATACCTTAAATTTAGGTATGTACCTATTTTAATAAAGCAATAATGTTTAATATGATAATCCCCAAATTGATTAAAATTAATTTTAAGAAAAAAATTACTTTTGAAAAAATTCCCTTAATTTAGAAAACCAATAAATACTTTAAATTATTTTATAAACATTTTACCTTGGAAATTAATTAAATTATAATTTTTAAATCCCCTTAATTTAGAAAAGCAATACATACTTTAAATTATTTTATAAACATTTTAAATTAATTAAATTATAACTTTTAAAAAACACTATTTGTAATTTTAATGTTAATCACAAATATTAAAACTTAATAATTATTATTGGAATGGAGAAATTGCAAATTTCATTTTAACATTTAGAGTTAATCAGAAATATTGAAAAATTTGCGAGGAATTGTCGCGCGATGAATTGTCGTAGCGATAAATTGTCGCGCGATGAATTGGCGAGCGATGAAATGTCGCGCGATGAATTGACGGGACACCGTTTGTGACATTGTATCCCATGCAATAAAAGGGCTAGAGGGTGGACTCTGAGCTTTTATTTCTTGTTCTGGAGTTATTTGAAAATTTGAAGTAGTTCTGTAAATAATAGCATTTCTTTAATTCTTGTGACAAATTATTCTTTTATACTTTTTTATTTACAGGCCTTTTCCAATTTTAAGTACAACTTCTACAATACAAAATTTAAAGTTTCAACTCAAAATATTAATCTGATTGAAAAAAATTAAGCATATTTAGACCAAAATTTTAATTTAACGATACATTTTAATATATCCCTTACAGTTTGATAATAAAAACATATAGTGGTTAAAAAGGGATCTAAAAACCCCATCATGTCAAATAGGTTCACATACTTCATCTGCAATATGAAACTTTAAAAATAAAAAAAACTTAATTTTGAAAAGAATACCTACGCATTTGATTCAAAATGTCCCCAATGGTGCGCTAAGCTGCCTCTTTATCCAATTTGGATTTGTAGCGCTTGTCAGACTTATTAAAAAGTGCCGGAAATCCCGACACCTGTTCGATTAATAGGCCATCATCCATTTTTTATAAAAATATCTTACTAAAATCAAACAAACACAAAATCGTTTTCGCATGACACATGACTAACGCGCAGACTCTTAAGAATTGATTTCATTGGCTATTTCTGTTAAATTAAATTACATTACTTGTTGTATGAAAGCAAGTAAATAAAATTAAATTACTTTTAAAGTTAAATTAAATTATATTACGTTATTTCTCTGTTAGAACCCAGCTTTACCGCTTGTACCATTCAGATATTTCGTAGTCTGTAGAGGGGGGACTACATATCCATGCGCCTTTTTACAGCCATGGCTGGTTGCAACCCAACACCAAATTGCGTAGGTACAATGTTTTTTTATTTTCTTTAATTATGTTAAAATAAATTTGATGACCCCAACGAAATATATTTTTAGTGACATAATAACGTTAATTCTTTTAACAGTGTATCTCCCCATTATTTTTCTTCTTCTCAGAAAATTGTTGTCTGTCAAAAACTTTTTATGAAAATCTTTTTCTAAATTTTTATATTTTTTATATATACTGTATACTAAAATTTTACCCTTTTGTAATTGGCCATATTTTCTGTTTCCTAATGGATTTTAATGGCATAATACATGTATTTCTGTTATAACTAATAAAAAGATTTATTAAAAAGAAACAATATTTTCCACAAAATATACAGAAAATGGCAGGATTATAACATTTTTGTCAAACTTAATTATTTTTGTGCTATGTTGGTTTTCAAATTTAGAATGATATAAAAAATTTAATCTAAAAATAGGTTTTTAAAAGTTTTAATTTCATTTTACAACATATTTTTTGATTGGGTCATTATGAAAATCGTAATTCAACTCATATACAGTGTGTCCCCGAATAGGTGAAACGACTCTTTCAAATAATCACGCAAATCTACATATTTAATTGTATTATATTTTTAAATATATGAAAAATTATTTCGATAAAAGGTACTTAATCGTATGTACGTTCCAAATTAATTTTATATATGTGCACTACTTAACCTCGAACGGCATATATTGCTTACCCTGTATACATTTTTAACAAAAAACTATATTTAGATACCTATCACAAAATGTGTTTTTTGTTCAAAGAAAATTAATTGATTAAAAAAATTAATTCCAAAATACAAAGAATTTTGTATAAATCTAAACAATTTATTCCTTTAAAAAATGAATGTTTTTTTGTAAAATTGTTGGCGTATGTAAGCAATCAATTGTTTTTGTTTTCAGCTACTGATGACAGATCGTTGTTTTGTCGGAAACGTTAAACGTTATTCATTATAATCATGTTTGCTGATTTTCAAATATACACGCAGTTCAACCAGATTGGGCTCCATTGTTTCTCGGGCGTTTTGTAAATAATGGCCTGTAGGTAGGCTTTAATTCATTTACGGGACGAGTTTTTTGTTTGTTATGGCCTATTCATCAAAATTTCTGCTGTCGCTGTAGTTTAGATACAAAAGCCTTGTACACACACTAAGATGCCTTGTTTTGCTTGATTAATTTTTCACATTTAATAATGCTTGCAAAATTTATATTATTATCTTCATTATTTACTTATTTTATGTTAGAGTATATGTTTGCATTTTTTACTAATAAATAATAATAACAACAAGTTATTTTACCTATTGTTTGTGGTTTTGTATCTTAATTAAGCAACAAAACAATTGTATCATATTAACAATAAGTTCATTTCCTACTGGATTTAAATAGGTTTTTTATTGAAAACAAAACAGTTTTTCTACTTCAGGTGTAGTTTCAAAATTGTGCCTGGCCTTTTGTTTCTTTACCGTGCTTTTGAATCAAGCGTACTACTCAAAAAGGCACCGTTTTCTACCTCATATGTACCGTATATGTATATGTGGTGTGTCACACACCTAGTTGGAACGTCCTTTGGACCGTTAAATGGGGCTGATTATCTTTTGTTCACCGATGTCACTAAATAAAGGAGTAAAGTTAATATGTCAGCAGTCTGAGCTCGTACCTTATTATTATATTAAATTTTAATAATTAAAATGACCACAAATAATGCCCAACCACGTGAAGGAGAAATAATAAAAAATGTGTATAATAAAATTTAATAAGGTTGTAATGAAAAACTATAGTTAAATTATTATAATGATGTATACATATTTTATTATTATAAAGGTTTATTTTGAATTGAAAAAATCATAATTTAAAAACCAAGTTTACCATTAAAATGAATTTATACATCTTCAACATGTGTAAATTGGTTTATATAGGGTCTAAATATGTCTATTATTTTTAATAGTTCATACCCAAAAAATAAATTGGGGCATTTTATTACAAACATTTATTTTAAATTTGGCATACAAAGAGCTTTTTATCACAAATTTTACACATTTTTGATTGCGTGCTTTTTTAAATATTTAAAAATGGCACAACTATAAATTATAAGTTATAATAAGTGAACATTTATTTATTATTATCTTGTTTAGCTATTACTAAATTAAAATTAAAATTATTTAAAACAAAAGATATAGTGTTGTTTAAATTATTAATAAACCTTTATGCATATTAAGTTAAGTAAAATATATTTAGCTCAATTAAAAAAGTGAAATCATAAACTGTATGCGTATAAAATGCAAATGCCTATTAAATTATTCATATAAAAATATACACAAGTGTAACGTAGTACAACATTTTCAATCGATAATACAAGGGAGATTGTTTATCAAAATTTGTTAAATGTTAGGAAGCGGTAGTAATATATAATAAAAGGTTCTAGCCTGACTCAAGGAAGTCGGAATTGCGCTTTTGCCACTTCTCTACGGAAGTGGCAACGTGAAACAGGTACTCTCTAACGCTAAATGTAATAAATTAAAATAAATCTTATGTCAATTTTATATTTGCTTTTAATAAAAATTTACTAATTAATTGTTAATGGTAGTTAGACACAAGGTAAAATAGTTGACAATTGGCCAGATTTAATTCCCACACTGAATTGAATTGATTTGAAGGGGAGCCATTTCAGGCAGCACTTAGGCACACATACGGCCCATTGTGCAAACCCCCTTTTGGTGAAGCCCTGCCTTACCTTACGAGCCCGCAACTTTTAAGAAAAGCGCAGACCCGCTCTGGTCGGGCATGCATTATTTTCTCTGGTTCCAAGTATCTGTCCCCTAGGTGTGTATTGACTAGAGCGTCGCATTCGCAGACTATATGCTCGGTAGTTTTGTCTACTTCGCTGCAGTACCTACAGTCCGTCTTGTTGCTGAGTCCGGTTTTGTGTAGGTGGTATTTGACTACCCAGTGTCCTGTTAGGACTCCTGTGATGGTTCTTAACTGGTTCCTGTTAAGTTTCAGGAATCTTTTTGCCTCTTTGCAGGTAGTAGTACTCTTTATAAATACCCTTGACTGCCTGAGGCCTTGTTGTTCACGCCATTTGTTCTGGAACTGGTCGTTAGTCCAGTTCCTGATCTTGGTTTTTTACCAGACAGGAGGCAACCCCTATGACAGGTTCTGGCCCCAAGAAGGCCGTGTTGCTGCCCTCACGAGCCAGCTGGTCTGCTTCCTCGTTGCCTCTGATGCCTCGATGACCCGGTACCCAGATAAGGTTAACCTTGTTGAGCACACTGAGTAATTCGAGGGTTTTTATGCATTCCAGTGTAAGTCTCGAGTTGACCCTTTCCGAGTGAAGTGCTGCTTGACTGTCGCTGCATATGTAGATATGTTTACCCGAGTAGCCTCTCTGGAGATTCTCTTGGGCGCATATCTGGATGGCAAAGATTTCAG